GCAACGCTCACTTCTCTAAGTGAAGAACTCAATCTTGTGTATATACTATAGTAGTGACTCTTGCTGAGATAGGTTTTGGCCCACGTTGAACTCTGATCTGCAAAATGACATCATATACGCTGCTTTATATCCCAGAACGACTACACCATTGACTACAAATGACTACCTTGCTCTGCCCCTAAACACCAATCGACTCTGTATGAAGCTCTTGAAAGAAAGCCACACAAGAAGTCAAATGATCATATCCTAATAAGCCGGCGTCCATGAAAAGGATAGCATAGAGATACATGACCCATGTGACAAAGAGTCATCATTTAGTAATACCCTATAACCTCCCTAACATGAAAGATTCATATACTTGCCCCGAAACAATAAATTCCATCTTGTAATCCGACTAGCATCTGCTGCAAAAAATAGTTCCCAAACAGCATCAAATACCAAGTCATTGAAGCAAATTTTACACACGTGACTATGCACTTCGATTGCTATCCATTGAATTCTGTTCCCACATAATAATGAGCTTAGATTCACAACTCATATGCAACTGTACAAGAATAGGCTGCTTACTGAAATCAGGGTATGTTAGTTCTTACATTCTCCCTGGTCAAAGGGTCCCTAAAACTAACTGAAGAGGAGGTGTCTCCCATGACCCCCCAATTGACTGTTTATTGAACTCAACTGTAGAGAGAAATAAACGCAAACTGATCAATCCTGTCATGAAAAGGATGGTAAATCAATTATCCGAGTTGGCAATTTATTTTATCATGTTTCCTTTCCCAAATGATAAGTCTTCCTCCTTGTGATGAACGAATAGACAATGAGCAAGAGTCACTTCACTTGTTTCTCCTAAACAAATGAAAACTCAATTTTGTGAACTAACTTGCTGAAAATAGTGTGTCAAAGCCATTCCTAAACAATGGCTATGCTTATTACTGCCACTTTGAACTCTGATCTCAAAATGAACATGAGTATGAAATGCTTGCTAAACACCCAGAACTCCTGAACTAGCCTCCCGAACATCCAATCGACTATTGAAACCCACACAAAACTTAAGACTTACTCATAAAAGAGATAGACAATATGACCAGTCTTTAACAGTTTTGTCTTCCCCAGAAATGATTAGCCTCCCTCCTGCTATTAAAAGATGAGCAAACGGTCACTTCCACTTGCCTCAGAAACAAAACACTTTTTAATACTGAATATCATCTGCTTGCTGAAACTATACCCGCCAAACAGCAAAATGATCCCAAAACAATCACACCTTATGTCCATGAATCTGAAACTTACTCATGCATGTACTTACTGCTGGGCTAAAATCAAGATGAATGAGAACGCTGCTTAAATTGAATCTGAAACTTACTCATGCATGACTAGTGCTGTGCTAAAATCAATATGAATGAGATGCTGCTTAATTGAATTAATCCTTCAAAAAACTCTTACACCAATTGACTAGAATGAACTTGCTGCTCTGCCCCTCGAACCCCCAATTGACTTAACATTGTACTGAACCCCTCCAACCGTCCTTTTAAAGACCCTCAGAGGGTGTTCCATCAACATCGAAGGAACATGGTTACACATCGCTTAGTTTTACCAGACTAGAGTGAGCCACATCTAACATCAACCTTAGCGTATAGTTTTATGCGATATGTACACACATAGCTAACTATTTTAGGGAAGACAAGAGCATCACCGTTAGTAGGAAGTTTTCCTAACATACAGTTGGATCTGGTAAGTGCTACATTTCATCAGTGATAATCATTCATTCAAGTGTATGTATCTTTCAGTTGAATAACTGTTGGGACAGCAAAGGTGTCTTTGACAGAAGGTAAGGTCACCTGATGCATTCAGCTGAGTACTTCACTCATCGTCTTTTCAGACAGGTTTGTAAGACAGTTAGTAAATTTTAAAAAACCCCAATTTTTTAGGTTAATTTGGTCAGTTTTATAGTTGCTGTCTTGAACATTGCAAAACCCCTGCCAGACACGTCCTCTATTACCAGCTGGCGATTTCTACTGCTGGAAACTGCTGGGGTTCTTCCGCTAAGACATAATTATCAGTGAAGGTGAATTATAAAGTGGTGGAATTTAGTTGCTCCACATATACTTTGCTGCTCCCCTGATAGTTTGAGGAAGGAGAGGGAGATTGCTCATATGTACCTCCTGCTGTTATAGAAAAATTTGTACTATTACTTTTGTGAAGGTACAGCTAACAACTATTGTCTGCTCCTGTGGTATGCAGCGAGGGTTCCTTTGCTTTCCCCCAGGTAGTCCTGACAGATGTGCAGTCTCCTTACTTTGCCGTATACTTGCACTCTTATGAAACTCAATCCATCATGTGGCGATAACACTAGAAAACGGCACAACTCCCACATCCACAGAACCTTTGAAGTTCCTACCAAAATGATATTCACCTTTACTGGAAGTGCTGAACTGAAGCTTTTATACCTATTTTTGTATCATAGCTGTATATAAGACTAATTTCCATCTGTTTCTCATCCACTATAATTATAGGTCATGTAATCTGTGCTGTAAGACAGCCAGTATACTATGTTCAATAACTATGAGCTACATGTGCAAGTGTGCGGTTCCCCTGCATGTGAAAAAATTTGATTCTGGGAGTTGTGCTCTCACTGCTTGTGTTCTGACACCAGAGACTAAGTCAGTATTGTAACCCCCTTCATGGACCACTTTTAGTTGACTGCTGGCAACATGTATGATAATGACAGAAGGTGAGAGATGAGAGATTATGAGAGTCAGTGTTTCTTGTGAGTGTTAGTTCTGTGTCTCTTGGTGTGAGGGTTCCACCTCAAGTACTCCCTGTCCACTGTCAGCTGAGGCTTCCTGTACTCTGCACTCCTCATGTGCTCCTCTGGACCACAAGAGACAGACAAAAACAATCCCTACTGGAAACAATCTACCATTACTTTAATCTTTAGACCCAGCAAATGGGCTGCCTCTAAATAATTGTTATGCATTGAAGCATGTACACTTTACATTAGCTAACCCTTAGATTTAAGGAGATACCCGTGGCATCCAAGGGGATTTATTAAAACACATTAGTGTCTGCACTCATGTTTATTACTTAAGCTAACACATTCAGAGAGTACACTACAAATAAGAATATTACCAATGATTTTGCCAGTGACACAGATGATGTGCTGTCCCTTCCAGTATTTGACCATGTTGAGAGCCTGCAGGGTGCTGATGATGTCTTCTGCTGTGATGCTCGTCTGGTGGCTGCAGGGATATCATTAGCATCATCATGCATCTTAGCTTTTATCGGACTTCAGTAGCACTTTTGCAACAAATGCACTGATGCAGCTATTTACATGTTAAAGCAAAGTGCATTATAGGCATATAAGCGGCAAAAGAAATTGCACCTTTGGATGCCTGCTTTAGGTCAAAGGTTTTTCTGAAAGATTGAGAGTTACACAGGCATTGCAAGATGCCCACGGCTTTCAAAGGGAAAATTTTTGAACATCTTAGTATCTGATTCATGAAAGATTGAGTAGAGGCTAGTTACTGGAGAGTTCTCAGTCGTCACTCAGTTGCTGGTTGTCTACGGAGCATGTCTGGAGTCTTGTGAAACACCACCTCTGGTAGAGAGAATGGCCTCAGCTCTGGGAAATGCTGCACCTGGTAGAGAGGGAGGAACAGAAGACAACCTGGATTAGAAGGTGAATGGTGAAAAGTAAGTGGGGATATCATGCACTTTATCAAGATGAGGGGGGAAGAGGAATAACACAAGTGTGAGGAAGAAAAGCAGTGTGTACGCGTTTGTTCATTAGGAGTGGTGTGAGCAAAACCTTTCTTGTCACTTTACCTGATCAAACCAGCGGCAGACATGAACATACTGCGCCTTCTGCCCAAATGTGATTCCTGCCTGAACATAATAATCATAGAGTTGACACAATGCTTCCATATACAAAACATATTCGTACTACTGTCTATTCTACTGTTCATTCTACTACACATTCTACTGCCATTCTATTACACATTCTACTGCCATTCTACCAAGCAATCAACATAGTACATGATGCCTACCATGTATCTGTGGAGACCATAGTAGAGAAGAATGTCAGCTAGTGAGAGTTTGTAGCCAGTCAGGAAGATTTGAGTGGTCAGGTGACAGTTCAAGTCCTGTATTAGAGAGACAGTTAGTACAAAGACTAGGTGTGTGCTCACATGTCCACCTGGAGAACAGAGGCCAGCTTTTCTCTGGACAGAGCGTCCCACTGAGACTCGGTACGGACCCGGGACGTGTAGAACTCCACCCACTGCCTCACGAGACTCCGCCCAACTCGTCCCTCTCCGCCGCACAGGCACACGTCGGGGTGTGGGTGGGGGGAGTGTGATGACACGAACCACGAGGCTGCCAGGACAGACTGACGTGCATACCCCAACTGAATAGAGAGAGAGAACAAAGAAGGTTGGAAGTATAAAATTTCATAATTTTGTCCAACATTTTAGGTATTTCTGTGCTTGCGTACTGTATATCCATCACTATAGGTAGGTACCTCTTCAAGGGAGACGGTAGAGCCGCGGAACTGCTTCAGTAGCTCAACTTCCCACGGCTCGTCGCAAGCCATCGTCGAGGTGGGCATCATTTAGAAGTAAGCTTAACCAATACACGCATGCGCAGTGAAACTGCTGACTCGGCATTAAAACCTGGCGAAAGTCAATTTTCTGTTGCGTCAGAAACCCTCACAAAAAGCTCGTGGAGATGACGAGTCTTATTCTGGCAGGTCTTGGTGTGGCAGGAGTAGCTCTGACTGCCCGAGTGTTGACGAGGAGTCTGAGAGAGGTCCAGAAGAGAGCCGCGTCTCTGCCCAAGTCCCCCATGTTCACCAGCTACTACAAGGGCGGCTTCGCGAAGAAGATGAGTCGCAGAGAGGCCGGTCTCATACTCGGTAGAGCACTAATCGCCGGCTACTGCTTGCTTTTTTTATGCAAGCAGTAGCCGGCGTTTAGTGCGGTAGTAACAATGACGCATGCGCTATTATTCGCCTGTCTTGATTTCTTCGAGCAGGAATAAGTCCGTCGTCAGGGAAGGAGAGGATAGGAGAGGCTCACAAGAAGATAATGTTATTGAATCATCCTGATAGAGGGGGCTCCCCCTATATGGCAGCTAAGGTCAATGAGGCAAAAGAGTATCTGGACTCTGGAGGAAGAACTCAGTCCTAATCATTGAAATTGAAGTCACATCTCACATCATATTTTTTATTCTCTAGCTTATGGCGCGCTGCTGCGCTGAGCTGCGCAGCAGTGCAGTAGTAAGGCGCGCGCATGCGTGTAAAATTTTATAATGTCACATGACCATGATTATCATTAAGCTCCGAACAGCAGTCGGCGGTAAGAGAAAGAGAATGGGTGTGGCGGTGTGCGTGTATATAGCTACTAGGTGTGTTTACTGCCGTGCTTCTGAGTTTCCTTCCATTTCTGGTTCTTTTTCTCGTAGGTGCATTTGACTGTCTGAATCTAAGCAACCGTGAGTAGCTATTCTTTCTTTTACTGCGTTTGTTGTGAACCTGGTCTTTTTACTATGTGTTGTGAACCTGGTCTCTCTGCCCTATAAATAAACACTTTCATCACTCTAAATGGCAGATGGCGGTAAGTATGTAAAAATGACATTTGGACTTATTTATTTTTGTTTTTTGCTGGACTACCTTAGGAAAAGCCAAGTGTAAGTCCTTGCTACGTGATAGCTAACAGTTTACAAGTTTTGTCTGTATTTCCCAACCTCCATCACGGCTTGTAAACCTCTACACCTGCATAATATCAGATTGTAAGTTTTATACAGCGTGTGTGTAAGTTCATTGTTAATGCTTAACATGTCATCTATGACATCTTGTTCAACACAATGTGCCTGCACAACAACAGCAAGTAAGTTCTCAATCCACTTTGTTTATACATGCTAAATACTCTCTTCATGTCCTCCATGACACCTTTTTTCCCCACTGCCTGCATAATAGCAGAGAGTAAGTGCTGCATCTGAACATTTGCTTCATATTAACATGTGTCTCTCTTCACATCCTCCTCCACGTCACTTCTACCTGCACAACAACAGGAAGTAAGTTCTCTTGTTTTAGGAATGAGTACTTAATGCTTACGTGTCTATCTTTACTTCCTCCATGACACCACTACCTGCACAACAATAGATTGTAAGTTCTCTTGTTTTAGGCATGAGTACTTAATGCGCACATGTCTCTCTTTACTTCCTCCACAACATCTCTACCTGCGCAACAACAGATTGTAAGTTCTCTTGTTTTAGGCATGCGTCCTTAATGCTTATGTGTCTCTCTTTACTTCCTCTACGACACCTGTACCTTCACAACAACAGCCTGTAAGTTCTCTTATTTTAGGCATGAGTACTTCATGCTCACATATCTCTCTTTACTTCATCTACGACACCTCTACCTGCACAACAACAGATAGTAAGTTCTCTCGTTTTAGGCATGAATACTTAATGCTCATATGTCTCACTTTACTTCCTCTACGACACCTGTACCTTCACAGCAACAGCCTGTAAGTTCTCTTATTTTAGGCATGAGTACTTCATGCTCACATATCTCTCTTTACTTCGTCTACGACACCTCTACCTGCACTACAACAGGAAGTAAGTTTTCTTCTTTTAGGCATTAGTACTTAATGCTCATATGTCTCACTTTACTTCCTCTGCGACACCTGTACCTTCACAGCAACAGCCTGTAAGTTCTCTTATTTTAGGCATGAGTACTTCATGCTCACATATCTCTCTTTACTTCATCTACACGACACCTCTACCTGCACAACAACAGAGAGTAAGTTCTCTCGTTTTAGGCATGAATACTTAATGCTCATATGTCTCTCTTTACTTCCTGACACTTCTACCCGCGCAACAACAGTTGGTAAGTTCTCTTGTTTTAGGCACAAGTACTTAATGCTTACGTGTCTCTCTTTACTTCCTCCATGACACCTCTACCTGCACAACAACAGTGGGTAAGTTCTCTTGTTTTAGGCATGAGTGCTTAATGCTCACGCGTCTCTCTTTACTTCCTCCATTACACCTCTACCTGCACAACAACAGGTGGTAAGTTCTCTTGTTTTAGGCATGAGTACTTAATGCTCACATGTCTCTCTTTATTTCCTCCACAACACCTCTACCTGCACAACAACAGGAAGTAAGTTCTCTTGTTTTAGGCACGAGTACTCCTGATATATATAAACAAGGCAGTCAACAAAGTGCTGATGTAAATTTTTAGTCTGCTGTGCATGTTATATACTGTAGTATGGCTCGTAATATTATAAGAGTGGAAAGAAAACTAAATGTGCTAGAAATATTTATACATCTCCACTTATAGTTCTCACTCAGTTCTGGGAGTTTGAATTTGCAATGCATTTCTATGTGTGTAAATGGGATCTTTGTTACTGTACCTGTACAAAAGAGTGTTTTACATTTTGGCCCATGTGCTACAAATAACTTAGTTTATTGACATTGTCTTTGTCCATTTACCTGCAGCCACTAAGAGATACTCCCACTCTACCACAACTAATGGCTTTTCCAATGCTAGATGGTAGTAAAATTAACATTCTTACAAGAATTGGTGTTCGCTACAATGTTTTTGGACCATTTCTGCTAAATGATGATGATGGATCCGTAACGGATGCCCTGAAGGAGTCGTGTATGAGAGATTCACATGCAATCAACCTAGAAATTTCGAAACTGTGGTTGCAAGGTAAAGGGAAATTGCCGATAACATGGGCCACCTTTGTCAGTGTATTGAAGGAAATGGATATGAAAGGCCTTGCCTTGGATATTGAGTCATCTCTCCGAGGTAAGTCGTCCCCCCAGGGGCGACACTAATTATTATTCTTCAAACAGTGTACATAACTGGCTCTCTGTCAAAAAGTTAATTGTAGATAGTTAATATACTTACCATGGTGTGCGCATCTTATCACTGTGTTACTGAACAGCTTATGATTCTTATCATCAGTATTGAAAAAAGTGTAACGTGTAATGTCCCCTGAACCAAGCTGCATCAATGAATTAAGCAACCCTCAGATACCTCAAAAGTTACTTCGGTGGGGGAGGAGGGAGCATTGTAGCCGAGGGGAGAGGGCTGAGCAATATAACGTAGGTTGAGGGGGGAGGAGGGGGCATTGTAGCCGAAAGGAGCATTATAGGTCAAGATTGAGCAGGAAACAAAAAGTGCGCAAGCTCCTGTAATCTCGATTAGGCTTAAAAAGCAAAAAACAAGCATGTTTGCTATTAGCAAGTATGGGAGCTCTAGGAGCTCAAAATACAAGTAAATTGTCAGTTAGGCTCTGGGAGCTCAAAATAAATACAGAAAGCAAGCATGTTTGCAATTAGCAAGTATGGGAGCTGAAAATACTGGTAAAATGCAGAAGAGAAACATATATTGTCGCTCCCCAGTGTGAATATGTGCATGTGCTCGCCATCGTTTGTAAGTGTATATGTTATGCGAGGGACATACCGGATTGTAAGTGTATTATACTGTATGTGAAATAATCAAAGCGCCGCTATCTGACTTCATTTCAAATTTCAATCCCTATAATTAATGTGATGCTTGCTTTCATTTTATGATTGAACCACAATATGCGATACATTTGCCGAAATATTCCTCGTATTTTTTGCAAATGAACAAGCTGTGCCTGCATTTTGCCTGTTTTGTTTTATAATGCTTTAAGTCTGGTTCACAATATGATGCTAGACTTTCATTTTGGTTGCTTATTGTAATTTTGTTGACAAACGAAATAGAAGTCTAGCGTCGTATTGTGAATTGTGAACCAGGCTTTACTCTGTTAATATCGATGGAAAAATGCTGGCTCTTTGTATTGCTAGATGACTATGCTGAGGCTCTTAGTAAAGGCTCTGTTCCTGGTGCTTATGTGCGGTTAATGTTCCTGGGGGCAGGGGGTTCAGGGAAGAGCAGCTTACTCGATGGCCTTATGAATGTTCCATTAAGAATGGCGGAAACCACAGTTGTAGCTGACACACGCACTGTGTCATTTCAGTGGATCAAAGCAGCAGATAGTTGTGAGGAGGCTTGGAAAGAGCATACTAGTTCTGACGAGGCTACAATTTTTAGCAGCTCATTCTCATAGTCTTGTTTCTGAAAAAGAGGAGAGGAGAGGAAGAAGCAGGGTCCTATATATATAAACAGCGTTTGGCTCCTGCCGTTGATAGCTTTCGTTTGGCTCCTGGTGCAGTTGCTTTAATAACTTTAAGGCATCAAGTTAGTGGAAAAGAAGTTAGTCATGAGCATAAGGAGAAGGTATCAGAAATAACCAGCACTGCCTATAGTGAAATTATCAAAAAAGCAAACAACATATGCACAAACCAGGGAAAATAATGTCCAGATGTTGTAATGCACATATGTGACTGTGGGGGCAGCCTGTGTTTCTTGATATTCTTGCTGCATTTCTTACCCCTCGCACAATGTTCTTCTTCTTTTTGATTGCTTCCTCTGATCTTGAGGATGTACCAAGAAAATGGCACCACCATGGTAACCTATTATGGGAAGGAGCAAATATCACACACTTGCAGCTATTGATACAATGGTTGCACTATATCCATTCTTCCCTTATTGAAACGAATGAGCACTTGCTACTTCAGGCCAGTCTAAGCTCTAGTAAAATTCCAAAGTTTCCTCGAGCCATGCTTGTGGTTCACGGAAAAGATCAAATAACACAGAGGAAGAAGAGGGTGTGAAGTCTCAAACTTATAGTCTGGCTGTGGTTATGCTTCATTTAGTGAAATTATAGTTGACAAGCTCCTTGTAACAACAAGAAGCTGGAAAGGGTAAGGAAGAAGATCCTGGGTACAAACAATTCGTGAAAATATCAATGAATTTGCAAATCCCTTGTGTTAGACACTCCACTGGCCTGGGTTACTTTCAGGCAGGTTTTGCAAGGTTGCTGAGGATCAGCCAATTCTTGTATACAGTGAGTGTTTTCATTGCCGAGCAATGCAATATCCCGGCGTAGGTTATGTACCAAGTGTGCTTCAATTTACCACCAGTTAGGTGCACTTTTTAACACTATGCGAATGTACCATCTCTGCCAATACAATAATCGTGAGCACAATGGCTTAGTAACCAGTTGCGACTTCTGCTAATGCCCAGATGGGTTGGTCACCGACCTCAGTCAATCTGAAACGGTTTTGGAAAGTGGTTTTGAAGAGAGAGGTGTTGTTGTTGAAGGTTATATCAGGAAATATGGAAGATGGTGGGCTAGGTTAGGGGTGCGCCCATCAAGCGATTGTTGATGTTCTTCGTCATTTTGATCTATGCTATCCGAATAAATGATATGTCAGATGACATGATGGTATAACGCAGAGGCACAAAACAGTTATTTCATGCCTTGCGTGTTGAAAGTAAGCTAAATCAGACATCAACAGAAACTCAGAGCACCACAATTCAAGCCTGTTACGCGAAGCAGCTACTCTATATCTGTTTTAGAGTACAGGTTGTCCCGCTGGTGCTTTTTTGTGTCCATAAGTTTTTATTGCGCACATTGCACACATGTCTAACCAGGAAGGTACACAACAACTTTCGAGATAGAGAGGCGTGTATCGCAATCGTATTTTGTTTAAGTGCATGAGATCTTGACGAATAATTGTGTCCGAGATACACTGGAAGCATATCTGTCAGTTTTTTCGAGTGGCAGAGCGATAGACACAATTTTAGATTTGCTGAGTTCGTGTATTTTGCTAAAGAGGGAGCTGGTTAGCATGTGCAAGAATGTACGTGACTGGATGTCGTGGTGTTACGATCAACTTGGCATTTTCATGCACATGTCACAAAGTGCTCCAGGCACTTCGTAGTATTGGAGCCTGGTGTTTCTTGCGAGTCCAGATCTGTTTTGTGCTCTTCACCAGAAGTATGAACTGTCTCCTCAGCAAAGGGTCGGGCTACCAAGTGAACTTCA